CCAAGGAGCGAAGCTCCTATAAAACTGAGCGGCTATACGGCGTAATAAGAAGAAGTTCATGCTTTGAAAGAACATGATATAGTTGCAAGAATAAATTTTTGTTAATCGGTTTCTAATTTCGCCATATCCGGTTGCAAGCCTGGTTGAGAAATGAGAAAGAGTAACAATCTCGTACAAAACTGGGGTCCAGCTGGCTCCGACTGATAGCAGCCTGTAAGGGCCCCTGTCTACGGTTACATATCTTGTTGCCTTGCAATAGTGGTTTCGAGAAACCTGCCTCGGTCCCTTCCTGCACTGTCAAAATGACTTTCAACCGCATCAGCAGCCTGCTGTCCAGGCAGAACATCAAGTCTGTGGGCCTTGCCCCAAAGAAGATCCCTGGTTACGTTCAGCATACAAAGGTTGACTTGGGACTAAAGACTCCTGGTGTATACAGCAAGACGCCACAAGCAAAGAGCATAGACGTCAGTATTAGGAACCATGACCAAAGACAACTCAAACATGGTTGCAGACCACTGCGATATATGTAAGAAGGATGTAAGCAACGACGACAACTTGATAGAATGCAAGCACTGTCAGAGACGGCAGCAATTTGACTGCAGCGGCCTCACGAGAGGAGAATTTGATATAGCAAAAAGAGAGAACTAAAAGCTGACATGGTTATGCTCGAATTGCAAGCCGAAAATAATAAAGATGACTGAGATAGAAGAAAAAATAACAGAAAAGCTGTCATTACAGGTACAGTCCAAACTGGATGCCATGATGACTAACATCAAGGCGGTAATAAAGGAGGAACTAAAAGCTGCAACAAGCCTAGAGCTAAGACAGCAACACCCGAGACAGACAGTGATCAAACCAAGGGCCCCTAAACCCCCGAATGTTCAAAATGAGAAGAGTAGTAAAACAAGCTCCACCCACACAGACAGCTACTTCAAGGAACCAACTGAAGGAAGAGACGAAAGAGAACAGGAAACTGAAGAGGAACCACGAAGCACCCCCGAGGACCCCCTACCTGGAAATCAAGGGAATGGATGGACGCAGACCGACAGAAGGAAAATTCCAAGGATAACTGGAGAAAATTCAGATAACAACAGCCGAATGAAAGCAGCTCAGCGACAGGCCTGGTTATACATCGGGAAACTCCACGAAGGAACTTCGACAGAGGACGTCACCGCATACCTGCAGGAAGGTGGAATCACAGGGGCGATCACATGTGAAGAGCTCGAGACCAGAGGATGCAATAAGGCATTTATGACAGGTTTCAACTTTGATGATCTTGAAAAAACAAACGATCCAGGCTTCTGGCCCAGAAACGTTT